AAGAAAAGAAAAAAAAAATCATATTGCATTCACATTTTCTTTACCTTCTCTTTACCTTCTCTTTTCCTTTTCAAATTCTTAACCAAATCTATGAATCAAACACATCGTTAATAAAAAATAAGTTTTGTCAACTTTAAATCTTTAATTTTCATTTTATTCTTAGACATAAATATACATGTTCTACAAGTATAATATTTTCTCAACCCCAAGGGGTTGGTCTAGTGAGTGCTACTTAGGGTCTACGAGGGTGCTCTGTTTAAGTCTCAGGTTCAATTGTTTTAGGAGCAATCCGCTCCTTGGGACTACTCTTGCGGACTCTCCCTATTCCACATAGAGAGAGTGCTTTGTGTAAGTCCCGAGATTAGTAAAAAAAATAGTAATAAATAAAGTACAATATTTTCTCGCTTTCACATTTATATTAATATTTTTTTTTTCACTTTGTACTTCAATTTAGTGGCACATATCATTTTTCTGTTAAAGTATTTTACAGCAACCACATTGACTAAAAACAACAGTTTAAGTACTAAATTGAATGCAAAAGTATTGTAGATGCAAAGTGTAATTTATATCATTTTTCTTTTTCTTCTCTCTCTTAATTGCAGATAAAGGGGGCTTCTATCTTCCCAAATTATTGGCTTTCGAAGTTGGAAGACAAGAAACTTGACATTTACCACAAGTCTTGACTAGTTTCTGTTGCAATATTTACACTGTCTCTATTGTTAGCATTTGCTTTGAACCTCTCTTTTCTACCACATCCTTTTACTTTCTACACACAAAAAAAAAAAAAAAAAAAACAAAAATACTCACGAAGGGATAAGAAAAAGAGTGAATTGAAAATATGTAGTCCCCAAACCATACTGGATAAGACTATAGAAAAAATTGTTGATACAGTGATCCAATCAGTGGTGTGTCATATCCGTTTTGTTTGTTGCTACAAAGGAAACCTGGAGAAGTTGGATGCCAAAAATAAAAACCTGGAAGAACAGTGGCAAAAACTCTATGATGAAGTTGATAATTACAGGAAACTTGGTGACGACATTGAGGCTAATGTTTCAAACTGGCAAACAGAGGCGGACAAGATGATAAGAGAAGTTGAAGAATTTGTGAACCACAAAACCAATAAGGAATGCATGCAATGCTTTAAATTTTCATGTCCCGACTACATCTCATGCTACAAATTGAGCAAGGAAGCAGAAAGGAATATTGGTGATATGAAGAATCTCACTCAAAAAAGAAAGTTTGACAAAGTTTCATGCCCTAAGCCACCTCCTCCGGAACTTTTATTATCATCCAGTGCGGAGCTTGTGAGTATGGATTATATGAGTTTCGATTCAAGAGAATCTGTTTTCAACAAGATCATGGATGCGTTAAAAGATCTCAATGCTTGTAAGATTGGGGTACATGGACCAGGAGGGGTAGGTAAGACGAAAATGGTTAAAAAGGTCAGCAAACAAGTGAAAAATGATGGACTTTTTGATGAAGTTGTGATGGCAGTTGTCTCTCAGGATGCAAATGTGAGCAAAATCCAATTGCAGTTGGTTGGGGGTTTGAATCCAAAACCTGATGTAGTGACAATTACTGATGACCATGAGAGAGCAAAAAAATTGTGGCAGAGATTGGACAATGGGAAGAAAAATCTAATAATATTGGATGATATTTTCCATGAACTAAACTTGACCACAATAGGTATTCCTATTAAAGATAGGAACAAAGTTGTGATAATGTCTCGAAATTGAGATGTGTTGAAAAATATGGAAATTGATACAGAAATTCAGATCAAAGTACTATCAGAGATAGAAGCATGGGCCCTATTCAAGAAGAAGGTAGGAAATTCTGTTGATTCCCCTGAACTACATGCTATAGCAAAAGAGGTGTGTAAAGAGTGTCAAGGTTTGCCGGTTGCTATACTTGTAGTTGGAGGTGCATTAAAAGGTAAGGAGAAGCATGTTTGGAAAAATGCACTTGAGAAGCTGAAAAAGTCTATGCTAAAGAAAATTGAGGGAATTAGCCCAAAGTTGTATGAATCCATGAAGTTGAGTTATGATTATTTATCCATGGATGTAAAATCATGCTTCTTGCCCTGTTGTATGTTTCTTCAAGATACCGAGATTCCAATTGATGAATTGGTGAGACATTGCACGGCGAGGGGGTTGCTTGATCAAAAGCCAGATACACTCGAAGAAGCAAGAGATGCAGTGCATACAGTGGTCGATACACTCAAAACTTGCTCTTTGTTGTTAGATGGCACAAATAAAAACGTTGTAAAAATGCATGATGTCATTCGAGATGTTGCTGTTATAATATTCCCAACATTTCATCTAGAGCCAAACACACTCCTATGTTAAACTCCATTTAGGATATCTAAACCCAACTCCAAACTTGATAGTAGGTGTGACCAAACACCCCATTTCAACAAAAAAAAAAAAAAAAGTGTGCAGATTTTTTTTTCTTCTTCATTGTCTTTATTCATCATTCTCTAACTTCTCTTTACATTCTCTCTCATTTTTTTTCCTTTACCTTCTTGGTGGCCAAACACCACACCCTTGCTCCACCCTTACACCACCACCTTAACCCACCATCTCCACCACCGCCGACCACCTTATCTCGCCGGAAAAAGGGTCCGGTCGGCCACTCCTTAAATCCATCCGAAAATAGCACAATAGAAGTACCAACTCTAGATTTTTCTTAATCTTTTGAAGAATCAAAGCATGGGGTTTATTTTCTTGATGGATTAGAGGCTTGCAATTGGTAAGAATCTTTCTCTAAAAGTTTAGTTTAAAGTTTTACATATTTTGAGTTAGAGATGATGAAATTTTTTGTATTTTAGATCTATTATGATTTGGGGTTTGATTGTTGAATTTTATACTCTCAATTAGTTTCTATGAATGTTTTACATGTTGAAAAATGATCAATTTGATGGTTGTTTTGGAGATTAAGATTTTGGGTTAATCTAGGGTTTGAATGTGATGTAAAAAAAATTGGGAATTTTGGTGTTAGGAAATTTATATGTTGAAATTGATTTGATAAATGGTGGATTGGGTATCTCTATGTTCTATGCAGGAATTTTATAAATGATTGAAGAGATTTTACATAAGCTGCTGAGTTTATAAAAAAATGTTGATTTTTGACTTTTGTAGTTAATTGATGGTGGTATTGTGCATATAAATTGATTGGATATTTAAAAAGTTACTAACTCAAAGATGTGCAAAGGATGGGTGTTGTGGAGATTGGATAAGTTATTTGTTTGGGTGACTTGAAGTTGGAGGAGTTCTTTAGCTTGTCATTTCTTAGCATAATTTATTTAGGATCATTTTTGTAGATGTTGTAATTTTCATTGAAAGCTTTTTCCTAATTTTAGGTCCTATTTATTAATTGTTAGGATTGGAGGAAGGCATCTCTACACCTCTTGGGAATTAATTTGTAGAGTCTCAATCTACACTTTTGCTATTTTTGGAACTGAGTATACTTACCATGGAAATTACCTTACCTCTATCTTTATTACAAAGTTTGAAGATAATTTTGAATTAAAGGAAGCGAATGATACATTTCATCATAATATATGTATACAAAGAAAAATCTATAAGTCTATTGAGGCCAATGGTTGAGTTTAAATAAATATATGATTTCATTTGTATAATGAAGCACTAATTTTTATAAGAATTTATTTAACTTGAGTCCTTCAAATTTTATGATGATTATGATTGAATGACAATGAAACGCTATTTGAGGGTATTTATTTTATTGATCATATAACCGAATATAGCCTTCGGGGCCACAAGGGCCAAAATGCTTTGGGGTCCTGGGGACCGAAATGTTTTAAGGACCATAGGGTCATTGTATGTATAAGGGGTCCCGGGGACCGAAACATTGAAACAAGAATTGAAGTGCTACGATGACATGAGTTATGTTCCTATGGTTGTGTTTTGGGTAACGGTACCGTCACCACCTAAGTCGCGAGGTAACGCGACCCTAAGGCTATGTAGTGGTTCCTATGATGGACATGAGATCTTAATGTATTGAAAAGTTGTATTTTTGTTTACTTTCATTATTCAAATGTATTTTTTTTTTCTGCCTTATGAGATTCCTTGGAAAAATCTTGATAACGTTTTATGAAAATTATATTTCATCTTTTTTATTTTTATTTTGTATAAATTTCAGTCCAATTAAGCTCTTATGTTTATTATCTTTATTTTGAACCCAATTGGAAGGAGAAAGTTTTATAACTCCATGGTATTGGTATACTCATTGAGCTTTAGCTCATTCTTTTTAAATAATTTTTTTTTTCTCAGATTCATAAACTTTTGTGTGGCTTGCCTCAACTTGGAAGACTAGAATTTTTTTGAAGGATCAAAGGTGGGCATCTTGTAGTTGAGGTTTTGCTTAGGGTCATTCTAGGATGTAAGTTTACCTTTTATTTTATTTTTTTATGAAGGAGGTTGATTGTAAATAATTGCTCATGAAGTTGGATGTATTGATGGATTCGTGAATAGTATGAATTATTTTTGGGGAGGAAATGCTTGGGAACTATCTTGTATCATGATAATACTTTTTGTCTTTGAATAGATCATCTCATACATGTTGGGCAATTGAAAGGTCTTATGCACCTTTGGTGATGTGGTGATGTGATGTAAGGATTATACAGGAATTGTGGTGTAAAGTGCTATAGCGTTCGAGGTGCACCCTCTTGGCGGGGTTTTGCCTTGCCAAGATTGGGTTGTTACATATTTGGTATCAGAGCCAGGTTATGAATCTGTAGACTAGTTACTTTAGAATTAAAGTTGATAGGGTATTGTAGCTAGTAATTCGATTAATGATGATGTTTAATAGCGATCCAGTATTCTAAGTTTTAATTGTCTTGTTATACAGGCGCGTATGGCAAGGCGAAAAGTTCATAAGAGTCGCCCCCTTATGGAAGTACTTGAGGCTGAGCGAGAGCCACATCTTAGTGTTGGAAATGAAGTTCCACCTCGGGTTCAGGAAGAAGAGATTGAACATGAATCGCATAATGAGCAAACTCAAGAGTCAAGTGCCAATCCAGATGTGGGACATTCAGATAGAGTTGTACCCCTAAGGGCTAATGCAGCTCCAGCATTTTTAGACCCTAGTGTGCAGTGCCTTTTAGAGTCAGTGGCTAGCCTAGAAGAGAGGCAAACTCGCATCCTTGAACAACATAATGTAGCACAGTCTAGGCCATTTGTGCAACCTATAGAGAACCGCCTCACCGCAATTGAGAGGTTCAAGAAGTTTGGGGCTCCATCATTTTCTGGATCGCCCAATCCTATGGAGGCAGAGGCCTGGTTAAGGAGGGTAGAGCAGATATTTTCTGTGATGGAAGTATTAGACGAGCAGCGAGTTGCACTTGCTAGTTTTATGCTGGTGGAGGATGCTAAATATTGGTGGGAGGACACGCAACGCCTACTTACGGAAGGTGGCACCGAAGGATTGACCTGGAACCAATTCACTAAGGTTTTCAATGACAAGTACTTTCCAGCTACCTATCGGTATGAAAAAGAGAGAGAGTTCCTTCGGCTAGAGCAAGGGGATTTGACTGTAGCTCAGTATGAAGCTAAGTTCATTTCTTTATCTCGTTTTGCCCCTTCGTTTGTGGATGATGAGGAGGTCAAATATCGTCGTTTTACAGATGGGTTGGATTTGGACATCAAATCTCATATCCGAGTATTAGGAATAACTAACTATTCGACCTTCATTGATAAAGCCTTAACAGCTGAGAAAGATGTCATAGAAATGAAGTTAGTGGAACAACAGAAGAAGCGCCACCTTAGTTCATCCCATCATGAGAACACATCTAATAGACCGTCAAAGAGAGGTGGTCATGGTTATGGTTCAGTCAAGAGCTCTAGTGCATATCAAAAAAATAGAGACCATCCCACCCCAACCCAAAGCATTTCTAATCAGCGTCATGGACAGTCTAGTGGGACACCATCTCAGTTTACTCGAAGTGTTTGCAAGCAATGTGGATGGGCACATACATGCGTTTGTCATGCTGGTACCGACTTGTGTTTTCGTTGTGGCCAGAAGGGTCATTTGGTGAAAGATTGCACAGTTCCTAAAATGACTAATTTGGGAGATACACGAGCTCGCTTCAATTGCGGACAACCCAGACATTTAGCTAGAGATTGCACACGAACCGCTTCATCTGCTAGTACTGGAGTTGGTAGTAATAGAATTTCAGGTGTCGGCCGAGGGGGAGGTCAGGTTGGGACTAGGTTTGGCAAGCAGAATAAAGGAGGTGTTCAATCCTATAGACAAACCCCGCAAGGGAGAGTTTTTGCTTTGACTCAACGGGATGCTCAGGCTAATCCGGAGGTGGTGACAGGTATTATTTATGTGTTCAGTAGGGAGGCACATGTACTTATTGATCCGGGTTCTACACATTCTTTTGTATCTCTATCATTTTCTTTGCATGCTGATAAACCTATTGAACCTCTAGGCTATTGTTTATCCATTACTACTCCTATTGGGGATTGTGTTATAATTGAGGAGGTATATCATGGTTGTGTATTACAGTTGGGAGATAGGGAGATGGTAGCGGATTTATTACCTTTAGAAATGCTTGATTTTGATTTGATTTTGGGAATGGATTGGTTGGCTTCTTACCATGCTTCGGTGGATTGTTATAGGAAAGAGGTAGTATTTTCCAATTTTGGGAATTTAGATTTTGTGGAGATCGATATGCGTCCCCATCTTATGTTATTTCTGCTATTACCGCTAGAAA